TCAGTATCTCCAGATATGTCCCTGAGGACACTGAGTATTAAAAGGGACACAAAACAATCAAACAAAAAACAACCAAACAAAAAATTGTTTTTAGTTCATAGAACACAGAAAAAGCAGATCAAGTCCATTGATGACCTCTGGTGAAAACTGCATCCAGATTAACTTCCAATTAGAATCCATTATGTTCTCAAAAGATGTTTTACAAAGTTGTTGTATGACTTCTCAGAACTCTTTGAAAGGCAGTTTGACCACAAAATACTTTTGCTTCAAATATTTCACTGCATAATCAGTCTGTAAAGCAGTTTTGTTGTAAAGGGAAAATGGAAGAGGGATGTTCAAGAGGGCATCTTGAAACAAGAAATTTTATGTGACAATGTGAAACTTGAAAAATGAGTAACAGCATTTAAGAAATATAAGATACTCTAATCACATAAAATATCATGAACATTTTTATTTAAACTTTTTACAGTTTTATTTCATTTTCCCACTTTATTTTAAGTACCAGGGTTTACAAAATTGTTCATAGTGATTTTTTTTTAACTTTTGGGTCACATCCAGTTATCCTCAAAGGCTACTGGCTCTACATTCAGGAATTACTTCTGATGGTGTTCAGGGGTCCATAGAGGATGCTGCAAATGGAACCCAGGTTGGCCAAGTGCAGGGCAAATACTCTATTCACTATCCTGTTGATGATGATTTGTTATAGACATTCAATATGTCAACACCAATCCAACCACCACTGTAACCTTTTCCCCACCATTGTTCCATTTTCCCAACCACCCCTCAAGCCTTCCCCCATAAAAGCCCCACGGTAATTCATTTTATATTTCTTATTACCAGTACATGACTAAAAGAATGATCAAGAATACTTCAATAAGAGAAAATTTGTTGTATTTCACCACGGGGATTTGAAGTTATTGTCTGAGGGATTACTAAACTATTGTGGTTGATTGAGCCTTTGTATTACTGTTCTTGTTTTTTTTTTTTTTGAAATTCTAGTTTTTTTAAGATTAGTTGTCTTCTACATTATATTCCCATCCAATCTGGTGTGCTCCTACTGGGGTATCAGAATTATAGAGTTTGGAACTGTCCTGTGGCCGCAAATGCGGCCCCATGCTCCAGAAAATATAGACTATTTAAACTTGAGGCATGGTGTCAGCTGTAGGGGTTTGAGTGCAACCGAATGTTATTAGTATGGTGGAAAATTGTCCCATATCCCTCCCAAGATTACCCTGGAGTCTGAACCAGAGAAACCAGGGTTATTCACAAATATGCTCTCTCTGATAAAGAATTCTGAGATGAAATGCAGAGGATGTTCAAGGAACTACTCAAAGAATCTATGGAGGAGATATCCAGAAAACTAAATGAAAAATGAAAGAAACAATAGAATGGATAGTAGAGAAAATATAGGAATAAACGAGAGCAGAAATTTTTAAAAAGCTACAAAAAGAAGTGTCACAAATAAAGGATTCAGTAGACAAAATTAAAAACTCAGTAGGTGCCCTCAGCAGTAAGATGAATACAGCTGAAGACAGGATCAGTGAGCTTGAAGATGAGCAACAGAAACCACATAGGGAACAACAAATAATGGGAAAAGACCTCAAAATAGCTCTTAGGAGAATCAGAGACCTAGGGGATGACACCAAGAGGAACGAAATTAGAATCATTGGAGTGCAAGAAGGACAGGGAGGCAAACCCAATGAAAAGCCACAATCAAAGAAATAATTGCTGAAAAGTTTCCAGAGTTAAAGAATGCAGACATAGATATTCCAAGGAGCGAGAAGGGTGCCAGCTAAAAGAGACCTTAATAAAATCATTCCAAGGCATATCATAGTCAGAATGATGGATGCTGTGGACAGAAACACAATACTGCAAGCAGTAAGGTCAAAGAAGGAAATAACATACAAAGAAGCACCCCTTAGATTTACAGCAGACCTATCAGAGGAAACCCTATAATCCCTAAGACAATGGTTGGATATAGTGAAAAAACTCAATGAACTGAACACCTCACCAAGAATACTTTATCCAGCTAAACATTCACTCAAACTCGATGGAACTATACACCAGTTTGTAGATATACAACAGCTCAGGAACTTCATAGACTCAAAACAAATCTAAAACAATGATTAAAGGGGCTCCTGTAAGATAAGAAAGAAAATACTTATAAGCACAACCAACCCCTACAGAAAGATGCCACAAAACCCCATGACAATAATATCTCTCAATATCAGTGGTCTAAATGCACCAATCAAGAGACACAGAGTAGCAAAATGAATCCAGAAACTGAAACCAACAGTGTTTAGGCAAGAAAAAGACTTTAAAGGCACCCAGATAGGAAAGGAAGAAATCAAGCTCTCACTATTCGCAGATGATATATATGATACTATATCATGAGAGGCTATGAGAACCCCAAATCCTCTACAAAGAAACTACTACAAACAATAGACTTGTACAGTAAAGTTGCAGGCTATAAAATTAGTGCCCCAAAATCCATGGCCTTCCTATACACAAATAATGAGAAAGAGGAAAGTGACAAGAACAAAATAATCCCATTCACAATCTTGCCCCAGAAAATTAAATACCTCACAATCAGCCTAACTAACGAGGTAAAGGACCTCTACAAAGAAAAGTACAAAACGCTACTCCATGAAATAAAAGAGGACACGAGGAAATGAAATCATATCCCCTGCTCGTGGATAGGAAGAATTAACATTGTCAGAATGACAATACTCCCCAAATCTTTATACAGATTCAATGTGATCCCTATAAGGATACCCATGAAATTCTTCCAAGAAATAGATCAATAGGTTGAAATAGCTAAAGAAATTCTTGGGCAAAAGACGTGGGGAGGCCTTACCATCTCCAACCTTAAACTCTACTACAAAGCAGTAATAACTAAAACAGCATGGAACTGTTACAAAGGCAGGGCCGCAGGCCAATGGAACAGGGTGGAATATCAGTAAATACAACCCCAAATGTATGAACATCTTATCTTTGATAAAGGAGCGAGATATGTGAAGTGGAACAAGGAAAGCCTCTTCAACAAATGGTGCTGGCATAACTGGACAACCACATACAAAAAAATGGGCTTAGACCTCTACCTAACACCATGCACAAAAGTCAGATCAAAATGGATTAAAGGTCTCAACATCAGGCCAAAATCTATAAGATACATTGAAAACAAGGTCGGCAAAACCCTTCACGATATTGAGGCTAACAGTATCTTCAAAGATGACACTTCACTGACCAACCAAGTGGAAACATAGATAAACAAATTGGACTATCTTAAATTAAGAAGCTTCTGCAACTCAAAAGATATAGTGACCAGAATACAAAGACAATCTACAGAATGGCAAAGAATATTCACCCAATACTAATCTGATAAGAGATTGATATCAAGGATATGTAAATTACTGGTTGAACTCCACAAGAAGAAAACATCCAACCCCATCAAAAAACGGGGTAATGAAAAGAACAGAAACTTTCTCAAAGAAGAAATCTGAATGGCTAAAAGGCACATGAGAAAAAACTCTACATCACTAATTATCAGGGAGCTGCATATCAAAACAACAATGAGATATCACCTCATATCACAGAGACTGGCCCACATCCAAAAGAACTGGGGCAACTGGTGTTGGCACAGATGTGGTGAGAAAGGGACTCTCCTTCACTGATGGTGGGAATGCCGACTGGTCCAGTCCTTTTGGGAAACAGTACGGACGATTCTCAAAAAATTAGAAATTGAGCTCCCATTTGATCTAGCAATAGCACTCCTGGGAATATATCCTTGAGAGGCAAAAAAAAGTATAGCCAAAGTGACATCTGCACTTCTATGTTCATTGCTGCAGTTTTCACAATAGTAAAAATCTGGAAAAAACCCAAGTGCCCGAGAACAGATGACTGGTTAACAAAACTTTGGTACATCTGTACAATGGAGTACTATGCAGCTGTTAGAAAAGATGAAGTCATGAAATTTATATACAAATGGTAGTACATGGAAAGTATCATGCTAGGTGAAATGAGTCAGAAAGAGAGGGACAGACATAGAAAGATTGCATTCATCTGGGGAATATAAAATAACAAAATGGGAGACTAACATCCTAGAATAGTTGAGATAAATTACAGGAGGTTTACTCCATGGCTTGAAGACCACTCGCAGATGCTTATGGGAAAGGGCAGCTCAGAAAGAGAAGGGAACACCAAGTAAAGGGTTTGGGGGGTGGGATTCTCCCAGGATAGGAGATGCATGCTGAAAGTAGACCATAGACCAAACATGTTTGCCACTCAATGCCTCTTTTGCAAACCTTAGCAAACAAAAGGAGAGAGAGAACAAAAGGGAATGCCCTGCCACAGAGATGGGATGGGATGGATGTATGGGAGAGGTGGGAGGGTTACTGGGGTCATTGGTGGTAGAGAATGGGCACTGGTGGAGGGATGGGTACTCGACCATTGTATGTCTGAAACCCAAGTACAAAAACTTGTAAGGTCAACAACTGTACCACATGGTGTTTTACAAATAAAAAATTAAAAAAAAAACTGAATCAGTGAAACTGGGGAAATTGGTGGTGGAAAATGTAGAATGAAGAGATGGCTGTTGAAACCCAATCATAAAAAAATTTGTAACTGTATATCTCACTGTGATCTATTGGGAGAAAAAAGTTGTTTTATTGCTCTTTGTATGCTCACAAGCATACAAAATGAGCATACATTCAGAGCAATCATTTCATATATGTACTATTTAATCTATAGATTAAGCATGACATATGTACATAGATATTTATTGTATTAATACAACTAAATAGGGAATGCATTTATTATATATCTTCATCGGATTAAAATATCAAATTGATTTCTTGAAAAATCACCTCCAAAATTTTAGTTAGGATTTAAAGTTAAATTTAAATTAAAATAGTGGCACTTATCACCTTTATGTATTATGTATGAGTTTATGTCTATGTGATAAAAATATATATTTATAAATATACTTTTCTTCTTTAAAGGGTCACATGATAGCATCCAGCGATGCCTTTGGTGTTATAAAGCTATGGGACTTTCGGAAGCTCTTACCAATTGTATCCATTGATGTGGGCCCAAGTCCTAGCAATGAGGTGAACTTTAGTCCAACAGGTAAGATCTTCCTCATGATCTGTCACCAAAACATCTTTAATATTGATTCAGAAATTATCTTCATTTCTGCATTTTGCCATTTTCCTTGTGTAAATTTCCATACTATATTAGAATATGTTGCATGCATTATATTTTGTCATTTTATATAACATTTGCCATCTCGCAAGTCATTACATTTATCATATATTTAAGGAGAGAAATAATAGAGGAGGTAAGGTGTATTAATATGAAAAATGAGTTCCATGCAAAATCTTGGTGTCTTCATCCCTTGGAGTAACTATTGAAGGCATGTAAGTTAGGGTTTCTGAAAATAAAATAGCTGAGAGTGGAGATGAGTAAAATTTGGCAAAAATGGAATTGAGAGTGCCAGAGGGACACTACATGGGGTAGGACTGTTACCTTGCATGTAACATGGACGTGATACCCAGCATCATTTATGGTCTCTTACACCCTACTTGGAATGATCCCTGAGCAATGAGATGAGGAAGTCTTGAGCAATGGTGAATATGGCAAAAGGAAGTAAAAAAGGATGGGGAGGCAGGGAGGGAGGGAGGGCGGGAGGTATGGAGGGAAGGAGAGGGGAGAAAAGGAAGAAAGAATAAAAGCAAGAAAGAAAAAATGGGAAGAGGTGACGGAATGAAGCAAGGGAGGGAGGGAGGGAGGGAGGGAGGGAGGGAGGGAGGGAGGAAGGGAGGAAGGAAGGAAGGAAGGAAGGAAGGAAGGAAGGAAGGAAGGAAGGAAATAAGGAAGGGAAATATTTTAGCTTGTTAATTTAAAAATTTATCCTTACTCTCCAGATCTTGTAAATAATATTCCTTTTGCTTATTTATTTATTTTTCTTTGGAGGATAAACCCAGTGATGCTCAGGGATTCCTTTGTACTCAGGGGAACTTATTGGGGCACTGGGGATCTAACCTAGATAGATCATTTGCAAGCAAAACCCTACCCTCTGTGCTATCACTGGCTGCTAATATTAAGTATTTTTATTCATTGTAACGTATTTCTGGGCTTGAGCGATAGCACAGCAGTAGGGCGTTTGCCTTGCACGCAGCCAACATGGCCGACCCGAGTTCGATTCCTCCTCCCCTCTCGGAGAGCCTGGCAAGCTACCGAGAGTATCTTGCCCGCATGGCAGAGCCTGGCAAGCTATCCGTGACGTATTCGATATGCCAAACACAGTAGCAACAAGTCTCTTGATGGAGATGTTATTGGGCCTGCTCGAGCAAATCGATGAACAACGGGAGAACTGTGAACCGTGACCGTAATCTATTTTTATATTATTTAGCATCTTTTTACAATTACACAAGCATTTTACATCAAAATTTCATCATTTTTATAATTGTGTAGCAGTTTAACCACCACCAAATGTTCTTCACTGTCCATCTAAAATGGCTCATTCTCAAGAGCTATGAACATAGTGCTGCTCACGCCCTGCAATGGCTGGAACCTCCAGAGAAAACTTTGTGGTACTCAGGGGCTCCAAAGTATATCAGACATGGGCCAGGCAGTGCCAAGGAAGGAGCCTGGGTCAGGTTCCCTTGCCCTAATTCTACTTCCTGAGCCCTATTTGTAATGGTAGCGTTTGCATAGAACACAAATTGTGATTGGATAAGATTACTTTACAAGTATGTATATTTTAGCTTTGTTATGTTTTCAGAATTTTAAAGGTAGTTGAAATTTATTTACAATAGTTGGATGCTGTGGAGATGTTAAGATTTTGAAACGGAACTACATTACAAAGAAATATTTTTTAAACCCATTATGAATTCTGAATTCTGTAGTTCATAAAGTATAATGTGATAATAATAACTCATGAGATGATGTGTTTTGTGGTAATGGTTTTGTAATTTTGCCATTGAAAATATAGTTTAGTATAGTACATGTAACTTCTAAATGAGCTTTAAGTTGCATTTTGTTTAGTTTGATATAGTAACCTAACCATACACACAAGGTCTTCTTTAAAAATGTTTTAAGAAATATCCTTCAATTAAAACACTTTTCAATCTATCAGAATTAAAGAAGTAAACATGTTCCAGAACAAATATGCCATCCATGAGAACTGAATTATAATACACATTTGTTAATATTTTTATATATACTTTGATATACAAAATTCCATTAAGGTAATGTCTATAACAAACTATCTCAAAGTCTAAAAAGTACTTTTTAATTAATTTGAGCCAACGTTCATGTATTCATGCTCTTAAATTTGGAACTCTAAAATTTTAAGTTTTAATTGAGTAGAAGGTGTTTTGAAATGATATTCTAGCAACAGTATAAATATAAATATATAAACATAAGGATATATTTATATACGAATATTTTATATTAAATCTTTATATGTTCTATATATAAATTTATTATACATATTTTATATATAGTCACTGTTGTGATTAGGTATGTTGCTATTGCTTTTCAATGTCCTGTTCAGTTTACAAGTTTTTTCCACAAATGGTAGAAACCTGAATTTAAGTAAATGCCAATATCTATCATAAAGTCACACTAATCAATATCATCTTAAGGACCTGGGCACAATAAAGCTAAGTTTTTCTCTCCATAATTTTAGTGGTCTTGGTAATACACTATTTTTAATAAAGGTGTGAGAACCAAGGGCAGAGTTTTAAGAACTATAATTGAGGAAATAATGTGACCTAGGGATTCTTGTAATGAAAACACTTTATCAGTTTGAAGGAAAATAATTTCTACATGGCGTCCCCACTCCTTTGACTCATTCTTTAAGGAACCTGGATTAATTAATTTCAATTTTATATGTTTCATAAATTGGTCTCATTTTGTATATCATTGAATAATGATAGAGAAATTAATGTTTCTCTGTGGGGAAAATAAGAAATCAGTGATGACTTGAAAGGTTGAACTCTATCAAAAAATGGAAGGAACTAGAGCAAACACAAGATTTGATGAAGGTATAAACAGAAAGGTAAAAGTCACAAGTGAATTATTATTATCTCAAGAGAGTTAAGAGGAATAAACTGAATCCCCAAACAAGATTAAAAAAAGAATAGGGACCCATATCTCTATTCTAATCTAAAATCACTCAGAAAAAGATAATTAAAAGAATGACAGTTATAAAAATATTTTTAAATGAACATAAAATGAAATCTTACTTAATCATCTCTAACTGTGATTTCAATTGACATCTCTTTATAAATGCACTAGTCATTTTTAAAAAATAGAATTCATTTAAATTTTGGACAATTTACATTTATCAAGGACTCACATAAATTGTACCAAATCATATGTTTTGGTTGAAAGTTTATAAGAATTAAATACTTGTGCAGTAAATAAACCTAAGATGTTGTCTCTCCCAAGTTAACTAATACGAAAGAAGGTTCTGGTTTGCTCTCAATTATTCCCTTAGACCTGAGGAGAAATCATCAAAACATACATGTGTCATTAACTTAATATCACATAATATATGTAGAAATATTTATACCATTCTCTCAATGTTTAACTCAGGGACTGTGAATATTTATTAGATATTCCAAATAATTGCCATAGAAACATTTCTTATTGTCTACTTCATTTATATAGATCAGTTTGATTGAAAAGCATTTTGAATTATGAAGCATGCTGTCTAAAAAGAATTCTTCCTATATGCAATGACTTATCTTTATAATTAATTTTTACTACATATTTGGCATAGCATGGAATAAATTGGTATACAAGTCACTAGTTAAAACTATGGCCTATAATATATTATCTAACTTTCCACATGTCAAATTTGACTCATTATCTATTAGCTTCGCAGTAGATCCTTTCATTTTTAATTTATAAAAGTAAACATGTACTAAGGTATACTACATCTTGAAAATTTACATAAGTATTCTAAAATGTGTGCTTTAAAATAAAAATATTTGGTACCAGAGAGATACTACAACAGATAGGTCACTTGCTTTGCTTGCAGCCAATCCAAGTTCAGTCTTTAATACACGATCTGAGCCCCACAAAAAAAACTTGCCAGAAACAATTCCTGTTTGAGGACTCAGGAGAAAGTCCCACACACTTCTAGGTGTGTCCCCTCCATCACCACACAAAAGTAGGTAAAAATAAAATAAAAATATTTGTAAACAAGAGAAACACTTTGGATCCATCACATATACAACATCTTTCATATTTTCAATAAAGTATTTAATCATACATTCCACATTTTTATTAGGAAAGTCAGTTTCTTAATAGAAATCACTTGATCACTTGACTTCCCGTTAATCATCAATTTGCTCGAGCAGGCACTAGTAAAGTTTCCATTTGTCCCTGCCATGTGCTAGTGTAGCCCAATGGCATATTTTCATTCTAGGAACATGAAAAGCCTCAAGCCGATAGTTCCGGGTCTTGACAAAAGTAGCATGACCATCTTGTAGGTGTGCAGCCACGCGGTCTTTTAATGTACCATGGAATTCAGTCAGTAACAGCTCTAGTCCAGTGCTCATTTCCAAATCTCATTGTGTGTTCAGTCCATCTGATTTTTTGATGCCTTGGCAAATGAGACAGCGTCCCTGACTCTTGACTGTCGACGGAGTTTGGAACTCCGGATTCTTTCTCTCATTTGAGTGAAATGTGATATTCCAAGCATAGCAGTTTCAATTCTTCTTTGGGATACCCGAATAGCGTTCTCATCCTAGGGCCCAGGTCTCTGAGGCTTATGTTAATTCAGGAAGAACAGTGGAATCGAAGAGATGTGCCCGAAGCTAGAGGTTCTTTGTCCTCTTAGCTATTTCTTTGATGCTCTTGAAGGCATTCCAAGCCACTCTCTTTATCCTGTGCAACTCAGGTACCAGGTCATTTGTCATGTTGACTTCTCGACCTAGGTACACATAACTGTTGCATTCAGAGATATTTGTTCCGTTGAGAGCAAAAGGAACATCAAGAACGAGATTGTTTCTCATAAACATTGTCTTCATGAGATTCAGCTGCAGTCTGACCTTTCCACACTCATGGTCATAGTCAGCCAGCATTTATGCCACTAGGCTAATGTTTGGTGT